TTCCTCCTGGCTTTCGATTTTTGACTTTCGATGTAATTATTAAATCGAATTCCCATTGGTTTTCTAGGCACCCTCGCCCAAGAAACGGACAGCACTGGTGGTCGAATCTGGGAGCGATGAAGAAAGTGATTCTCCTCCTGCCCCCTTAAAAAGGCGAAAGTTGACGAAGGATGCTCCTGTTCCTGCTCCTGCTCCTGAAGGTCGAACCATCAGAATAAAGGTTGCTGGGAGAAAGCCTAGGCCACCTCCAGTGATTATTGAGGAGCCAACGGAGGAGGAACTAAACATTCTTCTTAACAAGCCTGTCGAAAGCGACAATTCCAGCCCTGGGGCTGAAGCTAATTTACAGGTAATCTCTTAGACCCTTTTATAACTTAGGTATAGATACCCATATTCGAGTGTGTCCCTTTCGATCTCTGAAGATTTGTCTTCTTTCCTTTTTCAGGACACCACTGAAAGTTCTCCGCCAAGGACCTCTGAAACGCTGGAGTCTGCTGAACTCAGCAGGCCACAAGAAAAAGGCTTGGGAAATGACGAAGCCCATACTGAAAATGAGGCCAATGCTGAAACGGTAGAAAAACCAGCGGAGGAACCTCAGACGGAGGAACAACAGCCAGAAGCGGTTCAGGTGGTGAATCTGTCAGAAGAGAATCATGAAGAAAGGGACCAAGGCAATGCTGGCGAAGAAAATCAAGGTGCTGCTGGCGAAGAGAACCAAGGTGACGCTAGCGAAGAGCACCAAGGTGACGCTAGCGAAGAGCACCAAGGTGACGCTAGAGAAGAACACGCTAACGAAGAGCACCAAGGTGACGCTGGTACTGCCCCAGTCCGAGTCGAAGAGCAACAAGTCGAGGCACCTAACACTCAATAGCCTCAAACCCAAGACAATGCTGTTGCAAGGGTTACCTCAACGAAGCACAGGTCAAAAGAGGACTTAGAACTCTTGAAACAAACTGACCCTGTTAGCTATCTCAACGCAATCATCGAGAGCAAGAGTTCGTCTGATGCTAGTCAGGAGATTCCTACCCTGTCGGGGAAGTCTACTGAAACCTCTCCTCTCGATGACGCTTTGGCGAAGGTTAAGGCCCAGTTCTTCAAGAAGGACTTGATGAAGGCTTTAGAGGGGGACCCCACTGCTCCATCATACTTGAAGGATGTCTTGAATGCTGTCGACTTGTTAGCTGTAGCCCCAGAAGTTTCAAGCTTGATCATGGAGTTACACTCTATGATTGATCAAATCTCAGCAGATTACAGGCGCCAAAGGGGGTTTAACAGTCAGCTTGAGGTGTTGTATGGCAAAAGCTCCTCTGCGTGGACTGCTGTCTCGGATACGACTTCTCGAATTGCGGAGTTGTCGAAGCAAAAAGCATCTACGCAGGAAGAAGTCGATGCCATCGATCGAGAGAATGCTTCCTTCCGGGCACAAATCGAAGAAATAGAGGCGAAGATAAATGCCAACACTTTACGCAAGGAGGAACTTCTTTCGACCATCTCAGACACCGAGAGGCAAACTGAAATCAAACAAGGCCTGGAATTCGCTGAGAAGGCCCAAGGCCTCGACGCTCAGATTGCCAAACTAGTGCAGGAGAACGCCTGGTGCAAGAAAAGGTTGGAGCTGCAGCAAGCCAAGTACCTTCGACTCAAGGACTCTATTCCCTTTTGATTGATTCTCTTTTGTAACCATATTTTGTAATCTATATTCGACAACATTGCCATCTTGGCTGAAACTTATAAAATTTCCATTTTGGCATTTTTATGGTTAATTTAGTCTTGTTCTTTTATTATTTTATTTTTATCTCTTGAAGTGTAGGTTTGTATTTTTTCAAATATTTACCATTTACTCTCAAGAGCCTTTTATCTCCACCTAACTCTTCGACTTCATAGGCTCCACCAGAAAAAGTTTGGATAACTCTGAAGGGTCCTTCCCATTTGGGTGACCATTTCCCCATGCTTCGATCCCTTCGATCCATGGGAAGAATTACCTTCCAAACTAGTTCTTCAGGCAAAAATACCTTAGGTTTTACCTTTTTATTATAAGAGTCTTCTACTCTTTTCTTCTGAAGCCTGAGTAGGTCTAGAGCGCGTAATCTCTCTTCGTCTAAATCCACCAGTTCGTCTAACATCATGTTCCAATAGACTTCAGAAGGAATATCATAATGCCTCTGAACCCTTGCAGATTGAAGACAAATTTCTGCTGGCAACACTGCATCATGGCCAAAAGTTAGCCTATACGGTGTTGTACCAGTGGCTTCTTTTGGGGACGTTCGACAAGCCCACAGAATCTGGTCTAACGTCTTATGCCAATTCTTTGGTTTCTTCCCAACATGTTTCTTTATCAAGCCAATCACCACTTTGTTAGCTGCTTCGACTTGACCATTCGCCTGTGCATAATAAGGCGTGGATGTTAGGAGTTTGAAACCTGTTTCCTGAGCAAATTCCTGCATCTTTCGACCAGTGAAAACTGATCCTTGATCAGTTGTTATTGTCTCAGGGATTCCATATCTAAAGATAATGTTCTTTTGAATAAATTCAATGACATTTTCCTGGTCTACATTGACTAAAGGGATAGCTTCGATCCACTTAGTAAAGTAATCAATGCCTACCAGTATGTATTTCTGACTCTTTGATGATGCTGGTCGAATCTCTCCAATGAGGTCCAACGCCCATCCTCTAAAAGGCCAAGGCTTCACTATCGAGTGAAGTTCGCTTGCTGGTACATGTTGGATGCCTGTATGGACTTGACACTCTTGACAACCCTTGGCGAACTCAACACAATCTTTCAGCATAGTGGGCCAATATAGTCCTTGTCGAAACAACAACCATTTCATCTTATGGCCTGCTTGGTGAGCCCCACATGCCCCAGCATGCGTAGTCGAAAGGGCTACGTATGCCTCAGTTTCACTTAAGCATTTTATCAATACCCCTTCAGGCGTTTTCTTGAATAACTCATTACCCATGAGTACATAACTCAATGCCCTGTACTTTGTTTTTCGTTCTGTCGAAGCTCCTGGATTTTGAAGATAGTCCACAATGGGTTTCCTCCAATCTTGCTCTGACAAATTATCAATGAACGAAATCTCGAAGTTACTGTGATCAGCATATCCTAGTCTCGTCGATTCCAAGTCTGATGGTGATAGACAAGTTGCTTTTACCTTTTCTCGAACTTCGATTGCTCTTTGTAATCTCGTTTTTGAAATCTTATACCCAGATGCAATTTGTGCCAAGTCATTGGCTATTTGATTTTCGACTCTGGGTATGTGTCGAATATTGATCGTTTCAAATTTTTTCAATAAACGATTTGCTATCACAAAGTACATAATGAGATTCTCTCTTATGCATTTATATTCTTTTGTGACTTGCTTAATGACTAACTCTGAGTCTCCCATGATTTCGACTCGAGTTGCCCCCAATTCCAACAATATCTCAAGGCCAGTAATTAGAGCTTCATACTCAGCCTCATTGTTCGAACAAGAACCTGATATTTTGTACTTGAATGTTGTTGGAATTTTATCTGGAGAAATAATCAAGACTCCTACCCCTGTTCCATCTTTATGGCTGGAACCATCTGTCGCAATAAAAAATGTAGCGGGGTAAATCGGAGATCGAATTATTGATTAATTCGTCTCACAAAAGCAAGAGTCGCCACCGCGCTTTATTGTTTCCAAAGGAAAAGGGAAAAGAGCGAAATAAAACCCTAAATATGCAATGTAAACAATACTTTTGAAAGTAATGAAAATACAAGGCGTTTTTGAAAAGAGATCTTATGGTTCGGGGGTTGGTTATACAGTGGGAAGGTACTAGCACCCAATGCATCTATAGTACTCTATAGGAACCTTTTGAAATATCGGTTTTATTTAAAATTGATTGCTTGATTGAAAATAAATTGTTTTGGCCGAAAAGGGATACGGACGGGTTTTTGAAAATACGACGACCTAATGTCGAAGTTTTGGCTTAAAAGGTATAAGTCTTGAAAAGGTTGAAATTTTGAAGAAAGGTGAATATTTGAGGAAAATTAACCTAAGTTTTTAATGAATGAGAGTATTCGCTCGATCGTTTTTGAGGACATGAAGTCAACAAAAATTAAACAATTCCCTTGGATTGAAACGGACGAGAGATATACGGATTAACGATCAATTAATCAAAATTATAATTAAATGATTAACTGATGAAATTTAAATCATACTAGCATGCATCTTAAAAATTAAGTAAATAATAAAAGAGCACATGAAGATTAAGAAAACATAGATTTTTTGATAATTAATCACATGACAAAATTAAATCATGAAACATGTATTTTTGAATAATTGAATAAGCAACATCACAAAATATAATAGAAAAAAAATGTATGTTTTCAAAATTAAATAAAGGTGAAATTTTAATGAAATGTTTTTATGTGTTTTTTTTACTAATTAAAATTTTTACAGCAAAGTGGATTAATAATTAACTAAGTGTATTAAATAATATGGCCAAAAGAAATAAAAGATAAATAAGCAACCCAACCAAGATTTGAACCCAGGACACTTAGTTTGCTAGTAATATGCCTTGCCAATTAAACTGTTTCGCTTATTCATTAATTATTACGTTCTTTTAAAACAAAAAGGAAAAAAAGTTGAGTTATTGGGCCAATAGCCCATTGGACCGACCCGATTTTGGAGAGGTAAAGGAAGGGTTTTTGTAACCCTAATTCTACAAAGAGGCGCCGCCAGCTATCATTTGGGAAGATCTAATCAATTAATTTGTCAATTAATTCTGATTATTTCTCAATTAAAAATTCAATTAAAACAAATATAACTCCTTGTTTCTCACGTGATTAACAACACCTATTACCTCTATCAGCCTCCTATTCCACACTTCTCTCTTCTTCACGCTAAAACGTCAAGATCTTTACAATATGCTTTATTTATGAATCTGGGTGGCTCGATCTAGTGAAATTGAGAGAGAGGGGAGAGGAGATCTGGTTCGGGATGGAGGAAACAGGACGGAAAAAGAGTCGAAAAAAAATGATTCACAGCGGCGGGTCGGCGGTCAGTACTGGCAGCGTCGGATCCGTACAACAACAATGACAATTGGGAAACAACGAAACGGCACCAAGCCACAGCGATTTTAGGTATCCCTTGCGTTTTGCTCATCGATTCTCCCTCTTGCTCTCGTGTTCTGTTTCTTCTCCTTATCGGATCTCTGACTCTGCTTCTGTTTTTGTGAGCGTTGTATTGTTGTTGTGTGAACTGTGTGTTTGTTGAGAGGTAGCGGTTGGAATGTGTCGTGCGCGTACAAGTGAGATTGAATTAGATGGAGTTTTTTTTTTGCAGGTTATGTATTGTGAAGGTTGCAGTGATGTGGATATTTGTGAGATGGATATGGAAATTGTGGGTGGATTGTGTGTCTGTGGAGATTCTTGTGGGTTTGAACAGAATTTCATATGCTTATTATTGGCTTGTTTTTTTGCAGAGGTTTAGAGAGGTTTGAGCAAAGCTTTGGGGGGAGTTTTTGTATGAGAGTTGGTGGAGGAAAGAGTAACGGTGAGGATGATGTCAAAGCTTTAAGGTGATTTTATTTTTTACCCGATTCTAAACTTCTGGTTTATTCGTAAACACAAGTAATTTGATTTGGACTCAATTCTATCCTTTTTACTTTTGTAGCAGGGATTACATATGCAACATCAACAAGTTTTGGTAACGAATACATACAGAGATGCCGGTTTTATGCAAAAGGATGGAATGAGCATTACCTGTCAAAGTCTCTCCGCCAAGTTCTTCAAAAGGAAATGAATTCAAGATCTTCTATCTTCTCCCTTTATGCCTCTTCCTCTCTGTCTTTCCTATCTGTTTCGGTTATGAGTCCTTGGAGGTGCAACACCTGCTTAGCTAAACTTCCAGTTTTACGTGCATACTGTGAACTGTTTTGATTTTCTAAGGCGGAAGATCGTAGAGGTATGAAAATATATTTTTTGTTCTTTTCTTGTATGTATTTTCTACTGTATTCTTGAATGAGTGATCTATTGTTTTTTTGTAAAGGGGTGCAATTGATTTTGCAGTGAGAGGTGGGTGGAAGGAAATGAGTTGAAGAGAAAGATGAAAAGTGAAGGATCTGTCCATGTAAAAAAAAAATCAGATCATAATATATGGGAGTTAGAAGTTTTTGTGAAAAACCTCCAAGGAATTATTACCGTTGTTCTTTTTGATTGAGATTCAAGTTTATTCTAAAGATAGAGGAAGTATAGTGTGACTTTTTGCTTTATTCTTTTTTTTGAAAAAAATGCCATTCTCATGTAAGTTTCTTGGATGTATTATGGTGCAGATTTTGCAGTATGACAATAGCAGGTTTGTAGGAAGATTTGGCAAGAGTTGAAGCAAATTGGATAGAACAAAAAATTAACAGCAAGAAAAAGAAAAAAAAATAATAATAATTAACCAAAAAGAGATTGTTAGTAACAACTAAACTAAAAGTACAAAAAGAATTAAAATAAGAGACACAAACAAAAGTATTTAGTAATAATAATAATTCAATTTAAGAAATTCAATTAATATTAGAACTAAATCAAAATTAAAAAGGAACTAAAATTATAATGACTAAAAAAAATAAAAAAAATGTAAATAAAAGAAAATGGTATTAATTATATGTTTTTTCTTTGAGATTTTCTGGATGTAAAATACAACTAAAATAAAGATGATGCTAATCACATGTTTTTTTAGATTTTTTTCAAATAAAGTGATACAAACATATAAATTTAAATAGAATTAATAAAAGACCATATTTTTTATATTTTGAATTATAAATAAATAAATAAAAATAATAACACATGTTAAGTGCGTCTTTTGCAATTTTTTAATGGAAAAGAAATCATGAATAGAACACAGTCGAACCCAAATTTCACCAAATTCACAAAACAACTTTTAACGTCAACAATTTTTCATGGCTTTTTAATGCATAATTTTCCCTTGATTTATAAATAAAAGTGGTGGATGATGTCAAGGAAAATCATGCGCAAAAACAACCTCTCAAAAATGTCGAAATTCGAAGAAGTTATGAATTTTTGAAATCTGACCCGAGAAGTGGCAAAAATAGGTCGAATCGCTTGTGAACGCTTGCTATGTAATAATGCAGATGAGGGGGTGGGATCTTAGGTCAAAAATTGGGGTACAACACCATCGAAGTAGAATTTCCAAGGCTCTATCTCCACATAATTAATATCCTCAACTTGAATTGAGTGGTCGACTATAAAGTCTGCCACCACTTGTCCTTTTACTGCCCTAAGAGGCATAAAGGTTAAGGAGTATTCAGTTAATGCTAATGCCCACTTGCCAATTCGACTGTGCAAGATAGGTTTCGACAACATATACTTGAAAACATCAAAATGAGACGAAACATACACATCAACTGGTTTTATATACTGCTTGAGTTTTGTACAAGAGAAATACAGACATAGACACAATTTTTCAACTTCACTATATCTAGTTTCTGCATCGTTCAAAACTCTACTGAGATAATAAATGGGCCTTTCGACTCCATTCTCATCCTCTTGGGCTAACATGCTTCCCAGAGTTTTGTCGGATGCAGCTATGTACAATCTCATACTCCTATTGCTACAAGGAGGCACCAAAATAGGTGGCTTAGTGAGGTACCCTTTGATTTTGTTGAAGGCTTCTTGTTGCTCCTGCTCCCATTCGAACCCCTCTTTATTCAGTCGAAGTAAGGGTGAAAAGGCCTGAGCTTTCCCACTTAGATTAGATATAAACCTCCTTAAGAAATTTATCTTGCCTAAGAGAGATTGCAATTCCTTCTTATTCGATGGCGCTTTCGCTTCCAGAATTGCCTTCGTCTTGTTCTGGTTGATTTCGATTCCTTTCTTGTGGACAACGAAGCCCAAGAAATCTCCAGCTTTCACGCAGAACGCACACTTCAAAGGGTTCATCTTCAGACCATGTTCTCTCATTCTTTCGAATGATTGTCGAAGGTGGTCAATATGATTCTTCCTGGAAACAGATTTTATAACAATATCATCAATATATACTTGCAGAAAAGTGTTAATAAAATCATGGAAGATAGTATTCATTGCTCGCTGGTACGTTGCCCCAGCGTTTTTTAGGCCAAAAGGCATCACTACCCATTCGTAAGTTCCTAAGGCCCCAGGGCATCGAAAAGCTGTTTTCGACACATCCTCTTCAGCAATGAATATTTGATTATATCCTGAATAACCATCGAGCATACTCAGGTATTCATAGCCAGCGGCAGAATCGACTAGCATTTCCTCCACAGGCATAGGATATTCATCTTTGGGTGTAGCAGCATTCAAATCTCTGAAATCTATGCATACCCTTAACGTACCATTTTTCTTAATTACTGGCACAATGTTTGCAATCCATTCGACATACCTTGTAACACGGATGAATTTGCATTTCAGAAGTCTTTCGACCTCCGTTTTGATCTTCGACAGTATTTCTGGAGCGAAGCGCCTTGGATTTTGCTTGATTGGCTTCTTCCCAGGTTTGATTGGCAACTGAAGTTCTACCAATCCTCTGTCGAGACCAGGCATTTCGTCATAATCCCATGCAAAACAGTCTTTAAACTCTTTCAGCAATTGGATTACTTCCAACCTAAGTTCTGGATCGATTTTGGCGCTGATGTAAGTTGGCCTTTTCTCTGATCCTTCGCCTAAGTTAATTTCTTCTAAAGGATCTTGCGCTAACATTTTAATGTTGTTCGCCAAGGGATCCTTTTCGAAGCCCAAAGGCTCATCGTCATAGATGGCGTCGAGCCTCTGTTCCTGCATTTCTTCTGGCATGATATCAGGAGGTTTTGGATCGAAATCCTTTCCTGGACCTACAGCAGATAACTGTTGATCATTGGCCTGTGTGGCCATGTACTTTACTTCGGCTTCGAGAGCCGTTATCATCTTGGTTTCGGCTACATAAGCCGAAATTCGCTTCAAAGATTGCGACTCAGTCATTATCATTGAATTCGCTTCCCCAACCAGTTGGTTGGATATCAGTTAACCCACTGAAGTCTATGTGGGACAAGTCTTCTCTGTCCCATTGGAAACCATGCTCAGGATGCAGGTATAGGGAACAAAAGGTGTTTGGCGCTGGCGCCATGTCGAAGTCAGGTGTCGGACATGGCCCTATGTGAGCCAAGTTCTTGTCGAAATCTGCCAAACCCAGGTGATTCACTTCGCCAAGGTAATAGCTTTGATTTGCCTCTATGTTTTCGACCATCCCATCTGGACGCCATAGCAGCAGCCTTTGGTGCATCGATGAAGGCACAACGCCAACACCATGAATCCATTCACGGCCCAACAAAAGATTGTAGTTAGGTTTGGCCGATATGACCATAAACATCGTTGGTCGAAGGATCGACCCTGCTTTGATATCTAGCTGGATCACTCCCATAGTAGTCCCTATGCCGCCCTCATAGTTCGACAGGACCATGTTGTGAGGCTTAATGTCCTCATCCCTTTTGCCAATTTTCCTTAGCATAGAGTGAGGAATAATGTTGATGGTTGCCCCACAATCCACCAATATTTTATTCACAGTAGTTTCTTCGAGTTTAGCCCTTATGAATAAAGGCTTGAGGTGATTTTTCATCGCCTCTGTAGGTGGCTCGAAGAAGCCATTTTGTTCCTCAGTAGTGCCATTGTCCATGACAAAATAGCACACTGGCCTATGTTTGGCCATTTCTTGCTCCACTTCCCAGTCACTTGCTTCGACTTCTACCTGTCGATTGAATTCTCTGGGCAGCACTGAAACTATATTCACCATTATGTCCAAAGTATCATCAGACTCAGCATCGTCTTCGTCTTCGACTTCACTTTGGTTAGGCCAAACTAGCCTGTTGGTTACTGGCTCTCTTTCTAGAGGTTTCCTTTGCTTCCTTTGAGGAACGTTCGAACTGGTTTCTGCCTTTGGTTCGTTGGCAGCCTCCCTTTCCGCTTTTCGTCTCCTTTGATATCTCCTCCATTGAGATCGAGACATGGGATTTTTACCCTTGTAGTTGCTGGACACTTGTGCAACCTTAGGTGCAGCAACTTGAGGCTCTTTCTTTTGAGTCAAAGAGGAACCTCTTGGCACATCGAAAGAATGCCATTTCTCCTCACTTGGCCTTTTCCGACCAGAGGTTTTGTACCAAGTATCTACTGGCACATTTGTTGGAGGCCTAAAAGTCAATGGCCTCTTTTCTTGGTTAGAACCTCTTTGTGAGGCTCTTCTGGGATCATGTCGAAGGTCAACATTCTCCCTTCTCTTATTCGCTGCTCTTACGCCTTGAATGTGCTCAGCAGCTTTTTTATCAAAGATCAAACTGCATCTTGGACACAGCATCACCTCTGATTTCTTTTTCTGGCATCTTTGTAGAAAATCTGCCAAGTTTTCATTTTCCCGAGGGAAAGCAGTCTTATTAGCTTGTTCTTGCCTCATGGCCTCTTCTGATGCTTTTGGGTCAGAAAGTTCGACCATGTTGATATTCATTGTATCTTTGTTAGCAAGAGTTAACTGCTTCATTTGTATCTCCAGATTCTCCGTCTGGCCTTGAACAGTGGCCAAGTGGGAACTGGGTTTTGATCCAGTTTTTTGTGCTTCAGCGGTCTCCGACTTCGGGTTTTCGACCGCTTTCTGGACAGCTTCAATTGTCTTCCTGGATAAATTTCCAGAAAAACTGCCAAAGATTGGCATGTTGATGTGGTC